CTGCGACTCAGCAGTACCCCTAATTTTGGGAAACCGCCAAAAGAGGAACTCAGAATTTGGAGGAACATGTGCCTCTGTGCCCCAGGGCAGGGCTTCCCAGTCCTACTCGCTTTAGGGTTTAGGGCTTAGGGTTTAAGGTTCAGGGTTCAGGGTTTGGGCCGTGGGGTTTAGGATTTCAGGGTTTTGGGTTTAGAGTTTTAGGTTGCGGGCTTAGGATTTTGAGTTGAGGGTTCAAGGCTTAGGTGGAGAAACCCAGACCCTATTCCCCGATATATGGTCTCTTCCTACAGGGATGGTATAGGGATTGCGCCGGGACATCTACATGTATACATATATACATGTGTGGGTATACATATAGGAGGCCGTGTGTTGGTAAATGGAAGCTGCTACATGGTTATTTCAGGTTTAGATTGTTCAAGCTTTAGGGTTTGGAGTTTCCGATGTAGGGGCCCAAAGGGTTAGAACAGTGGAGAATATATGGAAAAGAAAAATGCCAAGTGAAACGGGAGGTTGAAATGTAGGGGTCAAAATAACTAGAGCAGGTTTCAGAGGCAAATCATGTGTGCATAGGGATTATGCGGGAACGATGTTGGTATTTCTTCGGGCTTCTGCACTAGCTAGCGCTTCTTACATAATGCTGGACTAAGTGCAAAGGGACTATTACAAGGGATTGCATAGGCGCTGCTATAGGGATCCACTCCCCCACTCCCTGCTAAGAACCAGGCTTAGGACTGAGGATTTCCCCAAAGGGATTAAAAACTTGATCCACAGATACAACTTGGAGGGCCGATGGACCATAGCACACGGCCTAACAATTGGAATAACTGGTAGAAGCGCGTATAGGTCTACTTACTAAGTCTACGTCTTGCGAAGAGCCCCCCAAAAACCTCCACATATATGGTCATTGGTGGGCTGACATGGGAGATCCAGTTTGCAGTTTGTTGGTCCTATCTGGTAAGCTTTTTAATGGGTCTGGGGGACTGCGGGTGCCACATCGATGCCCATGAGCATCATGCTACCTTACAGGGAGCAGGCGTGACTGTAAAGAGCCTCAGCTGTCCTGATAGTAGGCGGGATCTAGGTCTGCAGTAGAACAGACCGCAGTGAAGTCGTACCCTGGCGGTGCGTCAATGACCAGGTAGGAGTATATTGGCATCTGCTGGGTCATCTGCACAAATACGTTCAGTGTATTGTTCGCACCGGCAGCAAAGTTCGAAGGTTGTATCGACTCCCCTTCGAGCCTGCCAAGGACAGCTAGATTTCCAGCCCATCCTGGTAGCGACTTCTCTTCTTCAAGCGATATGAACGGTGTAGGGCCAGCAAGAGTGTCTCCGTCAGCTGCAATGAGATTGATGGTCCAAAGATTCAGGGGGTCATCTTTGCGCAGCGGGAGCCGCGGATTGACGACTGAAATCCGCACATCCACAAACTGGTTCCTTGGTATGTCAAGGCTCGTGAACCTGTAGTTCTACTTGGAGGTCCATTGTACTTATAACCTACTTAGTAACTGCAGTTCTGACCCAATTGTATCTAGGGTAACTATAATTATGGAACTTATATTTAGGTTATAACTACAGTACAATGGACCTCCAAGTACCTGTCCCGGCCAAGGTAAGTGGGCCAGGTCTAGGCCTGCGTTGAAGCAAGCAGCGCATAGAGGGCTGCCGTGCCCTCCAATGTGAACTTGCACAAGGATCCAAAGGACCTCAGGTGAACAAAGGACCGATTGAATATTAATAATATTAATACCAATAATATTAATAGTAATTATATTCATATCATTAATATAAATATTATCAATATTTATACTATTAATATGTCTCTGCATGCTAGGGAGCAAACAGTAAAGATGCTAAGGATGCAGCGTCCATGAGCCACTGAGAACGGTTGCCATGGGATTGTCAGAATAGCCATCGTTGTTCAAGTCTTGCCTGCAAGACAGAGGAAAGTAACAAACTGTTGTTTGCGCCTTCCCTACCTGTCCAAGCATTTTAGCAAGATGCGTAAAGAATCCTTTGCCGCCATCTGGATCTGCTGTTCCATCGCCAAGCACCATGCAAACATAGTCTGGCGGCAGCTGAACTTGTATCTCTGCCGGTTTCAGGACTTCCGTCTCATTCCTGAGCATTCTGCAGGTTCCTTGAGTGACACCCTTGAAAAGAGTCCGGATGCAATTATGCCGAGCCGCTCGCCAACCTTCACGTTGCTGTCTGGAAGATTCCGCAGAGTTGCGCCGAGAATGAGTCGGAGGATGAGCTCGTTGTCGCGTTGAAATGCAAAAGGCTTCGGCCCGTTGCCGGCTTGTCCCTCAACCTCAACGCAGTTTTGCGGAACTTCTGATAAGGATTCCTGCGTTATGCTTGAAGGTTCAGGGTATTTATAACAATACTTAGTCTCTGGGATTGGGTGATACATACAAGTGCTAAGCAAGTTATAATAACCTTGGACCTCCAAGTAGGGGTTTCCACATGATACATGGGTGTGACCCAAAACAAGAAAGGTTTACAAAGGGTTTGGAGCACATGAATATCTAAAAGATCTATACACATACATGTATATGTGTATACACAGGTGTAGTTCAGATAACAGGATCCTCGTGGTCATAGTAGGGGACATGTTGTTTTAGAACCTTTAGAAGCCTCACATCTGAGGGCTACCCTTAATTAGGGACCCCAGATATAGACTAAGGGATTAGGATTAATAGTTTAGGGTTTAGGGTGTACAGTTTGGGGTTTAGAGATCCGAGTTTGGGGTGTTAGGGGTTCAGCTAAATGTCCTTGTCACCGAGGGACCATGGGAACACTTCCTCGCAGGGAGATCCTAACCAAAACCAACTTGTCGACGGGTATTCTCAACAACTAGGTTCTAAAAGGGAGTAGACTAAGGGCTCCAAAGTGGCTATTTGAGAAACCCCTCTCGATAATTCAACCTCCATATTTCTGAGTGGCAAGAATTCGTCCTGAAGTCGCTCCGGATGTTGGCACCTTCCTGGGTGCGAGCATGCAAACTTGACAATTTAGTGATTAATCAGAGTTTGGGGTCTATGCAGAATAGGGGCATCTTCGGAAACCTAGGGATATGCGGGGATTATGGAGCGTGCAAGGGTTTCCTGTCAAATGGTATCGGAGTGCTTTCGAAAAGGTATATTGGTTGTAACTGTATTGAAAAGAGGTGCGGCGGCTTTGTTTCTATAAGCGTCGCTATTGCAATGAACTACTAAAAAATAGCTTCAGATGCCTGTCCAAGCAGAAAACAGAAAGGCATGATACCAAGCCTTAGCCCTAAACCCTAAAGCAGACTGGCCACTATGAAGTTTTCTAGCCACTTTCAAAACCTGCAACACATGAAAGAAGAAAGCCATGCTAGAACAATTTTCAGTATGGACCACGAGGTCAGGTGGCGTACATGGAAATACGATTACCTTTGCTACTAGCATTGCTTTTGGCATGCCTATTACTTGCTATTCCTACGACTTCCTATGACCCCTACTCTCACTCGAACTATGTTCTGTCTTCGTTTCCCTTTTCAAAGACTATTCCCATTTCTGCGCCTATTCCTTTACCCCTGACTATGATTATTTGAGCCATAACCCAAACTCCTATAGTCCCCTGTATAGTCCCCCATATTACCCCCTTACCCTATAGCCTCTGAACCCTAAACCCCAAATAGTAGTCTCCATTTTCTTTTCACATAACCCCCTTCAAGGAATCTAGACCCTAAACCCTAAACCCTATATAATCCGAGTCCCCCATAGAACCCCCCATTTAATGAGCTTAGACCCTAAACCCTAAACCCTATAGAATTCCTATTCAACCCCCTTTAAGGAGTCTAGGCTATGGCTCATTTGTATTTGCTATTGTTCTTGCGATTTTGATCAAGCTTCTTGGCGCAGGGCAACACCTCGACCATGGAAGGCGGCCTGATTTGGGGTATGGGGTCTAATGTTTAGGGTTTAAGGTTTAGGGTTTAGGATTTAAGGTTTAAGGTTTGGGGTTTAGGTTTTATCCCCTCTATAGAATCTTCCCAGGGGGCTGAGGATGTGGACTTTTTGAGTTCAAGGGTATAGGATGTGGGGTTTGGGCTTTGGGATTCAGGGTTCAGGGTGACGGGTTCAGGGTCAAGGGTGTATGGAGAAGAGAAGCTGTATAGACCTTCGGGCTCAGCGCTGAACGCTCATGGTTTAGGGCCTGAATAAATCTACCACGCAACACGAGCCTCCTCTACAAAGCGCACATGCATGGGATTCTAGCCTGTAATCTGGCAGTACCAAGGAGAAGCATGTTGCATCTTAGATGCTGCTCCCAACCACTGTAACAGTTGGATAATCCTCTCCCCCTAATAGTAAGTAGTAAACCCCCCTAGCCCCCTTAATATTACGTAAATACTCCCATCATGCGGTATATTGGGAGTATTTAATACGGGGGGGGGGGAGTTACTATTAGGGGAGGGGATTAGTCCAGATCATGTGAACATTCTCTCCATTATTGACTACTGCTGGGTGGGGGCAGTACTCAAGCCGCAGAGACACTATGGCTCAAGTCATGTTGACCAATGCAATCAAACCGCGGAACATAAGTACTCGTCAAACTCAGCGCCAGCGAACACGCAATTACATGCACGTATAAAGAAATATGTACGCATGTATCTCTACATGCTATATGCATGTATTTGTATATGCCGTCGGATAAAGTTTGAAAGATGCTTGCCCCTAGTCAGTCACAACAACCCCTGAAGGCGAAACAACATTTTGAGAAACCCATGTACTGTTGGTGGAGGAGCTTTTGCGCCACCTGATCAATCGTATACCAGAGGAATTTAAATAGTTAGGGGAGCTACGTAGTGCAAGATTTCCTCCATCCATGCTTGCACAAAGCCAGGCACACATCTGGAAGATCAAGATACTGCAGGAACATGCCTGGGTTGTCAGCGGGGTCAGAGCAAAGTCTCTTGATGTAAGGGGAGGGGGCTTCAGGCAGTCGCAAACGAAAACAGGCTGAAATATGTTGACCCCTGGCACGACCAAGCGCGTGAACCTACATGGGGGCTTCGAAAGAAGTGGGGGGGAGTCCCTTGCTCAAAGCCCTTACGGTATCAAGTGGGTTTTCATCGACCGGATGCATAACAGCCAGCATGACCGGAAAGAGCCTACATAATAAAACCTCTGAACCCTAAACCCTAAATCCGAAGCCCAGAACCCTAAACCCTAAATCCTAAGCCCAGAACCCGAAACCCTGAATCCTAAGCCCAGAACCCTAAACCCTCAATCCTAAGCCCAGAACCCTAAACCCTCAATCCTAAGCCCAGAACCCTAAACCCTAAATCCTAAACCCAGAACCCTTTTTTTTTGCATCTGGAC